ACAACCTTAATATTTAATTTACAGAGATGACACAGGCTGTGGGCAAGGGCCCCCTCAAAGAAGCCCTTCCTCTGTCTCAGGTGTCACTCCTTGCTAAGGCAAACGCCTCTTTATCTCCTCTTATTACTCTTCTGCCCACTAAATGTAGCCCCCACCCCCAGTTCTATTTTAAGGCCTCTTTTCTCGGTGAGCAGCTCCCAACTTTTCCAGGCCTGTTCAAACCCCTCTCCTGGCTGTTTAGGGGAATTTGGTCGTTCTTTATTGAGCATTCACCCAGTGAGATGAACACTGGCAGGCACTGGGGATGCAGAGATGAAGAGCCACCCACCCACCGCAACTATGCAGAGCTGTAGATGATGCCTTGAAGTAAAGAGCATTGTATCTTCCTGCAGGTCCACAAGTGCATGATCCAGGCTTGAGGGTGGAAAGGAAACAGTACATACCTACCGTTCAAATATACTTTGCTAAAGTATACTTTTGTTTTTCCATAAATGTACAAACTTTATTCTTTTTAAAGACGTATGTCATAGTATTCCTGTGTTTGTATATTTCACCAGGTTTCTGTCAATGGACAGTTTTATTTTTTTGCTGTTAAAAACTGCTGCAGCGATCGTCCCTGTTACATGTATCTTTGCTTACAACTGCAAGTATTTCTGCAGTATGAATTCCTGGAAGTGTTACTGTTGAGTCAAGGGCGTATGCATGTTTTTGCCAAATCACCTTCCGCAATGGTTGAACCTGGTGCATTCAAACCAGGTGGTGGGTGGAAAACGGCGGGTCCGGAGCAGCCCCGGCCTCCGAGCGGCAGGCGGCGCTGTGGGCGCGTCTCCGGGGAAGCGGCGGAGGCCGCGCCGACCGCCTTCCGGTGACTTCCGGTGCGGCGGCGCGCAGCGGGCTGACACGGGAGCTTAGCCGGGCGCGATGCCGTACGCCAATCAGCCCACCGTGCGAATCACGGAGCTCACCGACGAGAATGTCAAGTTCATCATCGAGAATACGGACCTGGCGTGAGTCGGCTGAGGGAAGCTGGCGACTCTGGAGCGCCAGGGTTGAAGCCCGGGCGGGGCGGGGTTCGTGCTGCTGGCCCGCCTGTGCCAGGGCTTTCACTCTGGGAACCGCGGGACCGGCCTTTCGAGCCTGCGGGGTCCTCACGCCGCTTGGTTTTCATCCCTCAGGGTGGCCAATTCTATTCGGAGGGTCTTCATCGCTGAGGTGCCCATAATCGGTAAGCGCCCCCCGCCTCCTCGTTGCCAGGGCCACAAGTCGTCTTCCCTTCCCCTTCCACCCCCACCCCCCGCAACACACCTTGGGCACCTGCTTCCAGTCCTTGATTTGGGCCGAGGGGAGGGGCGTTGAGAGAACAGCAGTTCTGGGGACTGTAGCGGACCCTGTGCCCTTCGCCCAAGGCCACTTCTGGCCACCTCCCCGGCTCTCGCGGGCCGCTTAGCTTCGTTCACTCCTACGTTTGCACTGATGAAAAGGAAGAGTATGGGTTCAGGAGTCTGCGAACTTGAGTTAGAATAGTGTTTTCACTTACTGCCTCTGTGAAACGGGCAACTTATTAAACTGAGCTGCAGTTTCCTCTGTAACATTTGGACGCTACTAGCACGCATCTCGGTGATATCAAGGCTTAAGTGAGGTTATCTCTGTTAAGTGCCTTGTGTTTAGCTTATGTTCAGTGTCGGTAGATGTCGTTTTATGAATCTGTTCCTTAAGTTGCATTTATGGAACATTAATGCCAGGCCGTGGTGCTGGGCACAGGGAATGCAAAACTAGTAGAGAGTTCTTGCTGTCGTGGACCCTGTCGTGAAGTTGCAGGGAAAAGATGAATCCACAGACAGCACTAATGCAAGACAGCCTTGGTGGGTCAGTGGCTCAGGAGAAGGGAGAAGCAGAGAGCGCGTCAGTGTCGTTGGCGCTTGCAGGAGGGAGGATGTGTTTCTGCTGTGGTTCAGAGCTGCTGCACCAAGTGTGCAGACCCCTAAGGAAATAAACAGGCCAAATGTTTGCACAAGAAGAGAACATGGCGCTTTTATCCACCACGACCACCCCAGTCACTTCAACCCAGAGCTCGGCGTGCTGGTCCTCCCTCTGCCTAATCAGAAATGAGCGAGTTGTACGTTATGTTGCAGCCCTGACATTCCGAGTCTAAATGCCACTTTTCCCACCAATTCAGTTCTGCAAATAATAATTGAGAACCTGTTACAGAACGGGTCACAGCTAGGAATACAAAAGCTAAGACACCTGAAGACCCTGTTCCAAAGAATTTTCAAAGCTTGAGGTAGAGACAACCCATACACAAGTACAGCACGAGACACACTATGACAGGTGTCTTAAGAGAAACCTGGGCAGAGTGTTGTGAGGGAGGAGCTTACAGGGAGGGAGTGATCGTGCCTGTATCATGGAGGGAGGGCAAAGCTTGGTGTTTTGGAGGCTCAGGATTGTAACCTGCACAGGAGCGGGTAAGGGCCTGCCAGGGCCAGGGGCCGGAGGAGTGGAGGGGCAGAGGCAGACTAGCTCGGCGCATGGCTCTTATTTGACTTGGGTGGGGGACGCATTCGGAGGCGTAGATCTGCCCCGGGATGGTCACGCACCATGGGTTCAGCAGTTATCAGCCCCTCAGCTAGGACATGAAGGAAAGGGCCTCCTCCCTGACTCAAAGCCTGCACAAGAACGCTGTGTTCTTACACACTTGACCTTCACGTGCTGGACCGGGGTCTCACCCCTCTGGCTTGCCGTTGGGGTCGTAGGGAGCCTGTGACTCATCCTCATCCATGGTCTAGAGTCAAACACCGGTCAGCACAGGATTGGGGCCTGGCTTTGTCCAGTCCTGGTCGGAGCTCTGTTCCTGGTGTCATTCGGCAGTTGGGCTCCAATGCCATTTGCTTTATGAATTTGTTTACGTGCAGATGTTTATGAATGAATGAGTGAGTGTGTGTTTAAGGCAAGTGTGTATGAGCACGGAGTCCTTGTCCTCCTATTAGCTCATTGCTGGTAGCGATGGGGTTTTCTACTTAGTGTGCCTTGCCCATTAAAGGAGTTCTGTAGACATTAGTTGATTGAGTGATAATAAAGTGTTAAATTGGGTAATCTAGTCATTATATCATAGAATGAGATATGGACCAGAAGTCTGTGTTACCTGTGTGAGGTTTTCCCTAACTTTTAAGTACCCAGATAGTTTGTGTTCTTGGATTTGGTGTTGGCATGAATAGCAGATAAGTGCTTCTCACGGAAATATTCAGCTTAGAGAAACTCAGCTCTAAGTCGGTGTTTCTGTGTGGTACCGGAACCCCCTTCATTAAGCCCGCCTGAGTAGGGAAGCGGGTACGTGGTGTGTGCGGGTCTTGTCAATACACAAATTCCTGGGCTCCACTCGAGAGCTGTGTGAAGCAGAGTGCCTGGCCGCCTGGCCCAGGCCCCTGTAGTTTAGTAAGCACCCAGTGATTCCTAAATCTTGGGAGCCACTGCTCTAAGTCTTCAAGTGAATTTGGTGTCTAAGCTGCATGTCTGCTGCCTTCATTTTGTAGCCATTGACTGGGTTCAGATTGATGCCAATTCTTCAGTCCTTCATGACGAGTTCATCGCGCACAGGCTTGGTGAGTGGCGGGTTTTGGGAGGTGAAAGGGAGGGGGCTGTGCCTGGTGCCAGAGAGGAAGCCTCCTCACTCCCAAGGGGACTTCCAGGGTCTCCTTTTGGCTTGGCCACTTGGCCTTCTTCAAAGCGTGTTTCTGTGTCTTCTAGGGTTAATCCCCCTCACTAGTGACGACATCGTGGATAAGCTGCAGTACTCCCGGGTATGCTGGGTGATCGGGCGGAATGTGGGAAAGGGGAGGCTGGGCCTTCGGTTCTCAGAAGGATTTTCCTGACATCTTGCCTCTAGCCTTTAGAAAGACAATATGGAGGTGTTGTCCAGAGCCCAGGGCAGTCATTAGTCCGTGGTTCTGATGGGCCTCAGATTGATTAGGCTCACAGGGCATCAGTCTCTTTAGCCCGTCACACAAGACGGGGTATACACCAGAATGCCCATGTATACTGAACGGGGGTGGGATGGAGGGTTGTTTCTTTTGAGTCTGATCTGTTCAGACCCTGCTTTCCAGAGCATCTCTTCCCAGTAACGGGCCTAGGAGGCTAAAGGGAGTCAACAGGAAGTTGGGGTGCAGGGGCAGGGTCAAGGAGAGGGAGTGGGAACTGTCCACAGAGCAGCACCTGAGGGACTGGCGTTCTGGTGTCTGCCAGATTTGTAAAACATGGCTCCCTTCCTCTAGGGCCGCACTCCCTCTCTCATACATGTTAACTGGCCTAGGACTAGGGAGAGAACGGGACAGGATTAGGTTACCTGCATCCCTTCACCGGGACTGCGTTAGATAATAGCTTGAGACTATTCCCTCTTGATGGCTTTAGGTCAGCGGTTCTCAACCTTTGGGTCACGACCCCTTTGGGGGTTGAACGACCCTTTCACAGGGGTCGCCTAAGACCATCAGAAAACAAAAAGATATTTACATTACGATTCATAACAGTAGCAAAATTACAGTTATAGAGTAGCAACGAAAATAATTTTATGGTTGGGGGTCACCACAACATGAGGAACTGTATTAAGGGGTCACGGCATTAGGAAGGTTGAGAACCGCTGCTTTAGGTGATCCTGAATCAACCCATCTAATTCCCAAGGGCATGTCATTTTCATGGTGGCTAATATATCTTATAAATATATATGTATTTTTTAAAAGGAATACTTAAGCACACAACAAAGTGTGGAGCTAATATAACAGATACTCATGCTCCCACCAAACAACTTGTCACATTTTAACATTTGCCATATTTGCTTCACCTCTCCATATTTTTGTTTTTAAGAAATAAAATACAGATATTAGTGGGGACAGGTGTACAACCAATTGAAGAGCAGTTTGGCACTATCTTTTATTTATTTATTTATTTATTTTTTTTATGTATTCTTAGCTGAGCCATCCTGCCACCTGTTGGCAGCTCAGCAACAGCTCAGCTCAGGGCCATGTAGGAATCGAAACGGCAACCCTGTTGCTCAGAGCTTGCACTCTTGAGCAAGCTGTTAACCAACTGAGCCACTCAGCTGGCCCAGTTTGGCACTATCTTGTATAAAGATATGCATGTCCTATTACCTAGTAATCCCTTCCATTAAATTTTTTTCTAGTATTTATTTACTGAAAGGTGGTGTGATCCTTTTTTTTTTCTTTTCTGAAAAATATACAGAAAAGTTGAAATAGAATAATACCCATTTACTTTTCACCTTTAGTTACCAGTTGTTATTATTTTGCTACATTTGCTTTATTTTTTATATATATGTTATTATTTTTGCTGAACCATTTGAAAGAAAGTTGCAGGGACCATGATACTTCTCCCCTAGCTTCTTCAGTAACACATATCCTAAGAATAAGGATATTGTCCTACATAACCACATTATCATGCCTAAGAAAATTAGCACTAATTTGTAATATCTATGTACAGTTCATATTCAGATTTTCTTAGTTGTCCCCCAAATGTCCTTTATCGTTTTTTGTTTGTGATCCAGCCAAGATTTATATATTGCATTTGGTTGTTATACCTCTTTAGACTCTTTTAATCTCAAGCAGACTCCTTCTTTCATTATACCTTTTTTTTGAGGTTGAGTACCTACCTATTCATATTTTTATCTTCCATTACATTTCGATTGTTCTGTTTCAAATTTCTAAGAGTGATGCAGTCTCACAGGTCTAGGTTGCCTTCCCACCTAACCTGTGTGTGACTGACTGCAGACTGGCCAGGTGTGGCCTGTAGTTCTCCCTCATCATCTCAAAAATAACAAAAGTAGGTTGGATTTTCCTCACTGGTGTGAGGGGAGAACAGTTTGCTTGATTATAATCTAGTAACTCTCTTCTTGGCTGAAGTTAAACTAGCAGATAGTCCCTAACGGAATGGGTTGTTTTAAGAATCAGTTACTTAAACAATTTCAAGCTGTTGATAATTGTTGAAGCTAAGTGATGGTTACATGGTGGCAGCCTATTATACTCTTCTCAGCTTTTGTGAGTGTATGAAATTTTCCATTAAAGTGTTGGTGGTTTTTAGACAAGGTCAGTAGCCCAGAACTTGAAAAGTACTTTTTTTCTATTGTTCCCTGGATCATTTTATTTTACGTGATGATTACATTCCCAAGCTAGTCCACTCAGTTCTTGGGCAAGCTGAACTAGCGTATGAAAGCACCCTCTTCTCACTTACCGCCGTGGTTCTCTGAGGACGAGTGCTCGGAGGGCCAGGCTGAGATGTTAGCAGTGTGTCTCCCAGTGTGGGCCTGGCAGCTGGTGGGCATGGGAAGGAAGTGTGGGTGTTGGCCTGTACGGGTTGTCTCTAAACTGAGAAGCACCGGCCTTTGAGCAGCCCAGGTGTACCGGGTTATCACAAGAGCCTGGGGACTGGCCAGCCCTTCTACAGGTGAAGAGACTTGAGGAACTGGGTGTTAGAAGCAGGGAGCACAGGATCCGCCATCTCTCCGTAGACTCACTCCTGCCTTTCTTCCCGCCTCAGGACTGCACATGTGAAGAGTTCTGCCCCGAGTGCTCCGTGGAGTTCACTCTCGACGTGCGGTGCAACGAAGACCAAACTCGTCATGTCACGTCTCGAGACCTCATCTCCAACAGCCCCCGTGTCATTCCAGTCAGTGTCTGAGAACACCTTCCCTGCGCAGGACCGTTTGCATTTCACCTTCTGGCCCAAGTGGGCCGGACTGGGGTGCATTCTTACAAGACACCGACCTTCCCCATGCTTCCCTCTGCCTTAACCTGAACCTGGTACCTAGGAGTGCTCAGGTGGGCAGAAGCATTGTTGGTGCTGTGTGTCCTGTCACCCCAGGACACTTGTAAAGGCCATAGTACTATTTTGACAAAGAAGGCTGTCACAAAGCTGTGAAGTAGGGGTTGGAGTACAGTCACCAGCGCTGACTGGGCCCTAGTAGGCACTTCTACCACCTCATTCCCAGGCATTGCGTCCCTGGTTGGCAGGAGGTGATCTGGAAGGTAGTTGCCAGAGGAGTGACTGGGAAGATGAACAGCTAACAAGTGTCTCTGTTTGGGCTCCTGCAGGTGACATCCCGGAACCGAGATAATGACCCCAATGACTATGTGGAACAGGATGGTAAGGGGCTGGAGTGAGTGTGCACATGGCTACCCAACCTGCCGCTTTGCAGGCCAGCAGGGAGGCAGAGATGTGACGCAGCTTCTCGTGCTGCTTGGGCTCGTCAACTGGCCTTTGACCCATTTTCCAGATGTGTGTGGTCTTCCAGTGGCACTCCAGGTCAAAATTTGGAGGACCACGCCTCTCCTGGCCCTTGACTGACTCCTGCCTCTCCCTGCAGACATCCTCATCGTCAAGCTGAGAAAGGGCCAGGAGCTGAGACTTCGAGCCTATGCCAAAAAGGGCTTTGGCAAAGAGCATGCCAAGTGGAACCCAACTGCGGGGGTGGCTTTTGAATACGATCCCGACAATGCCCTAAGGCACACAGTGTACCCCAAGCCAGAGGAATGGTAGGTCGCAGCTGGGAGTGAAGGCAGGCAGTGAAGGTGGGTGAGGGTGGACTTGGCTCCTTGTGACAGAGGTGGGGGCAGGCTCAGTGTGGACACGGGATTCCTGGAAGCAGCATATAACCCTGTGCTGACCTGTGTTTGACTCTAGGCCAAAGAGTGAGTACTCAGAGCTGGATGAGGATGAGTCACAGGCTCCCTACGACCCCAACGGCAAGCCAGAGAGGTAAGACCCTGGTCCAGTGTGAAGGTCAAGTGTGTAAGAACATAGCGTTTTTGTGCAGGCTTTGAGTTAGGGAGGAGGCCCTTTCCTTCATGTCCTAGCTGAGGGGCTGATAACTGCTGAACCCATGGTGTGTGACCATCCCGGGGCAGATCCCTCTTTTAGTCATTGAGAAAGAGGGGCCTCTAGTTATCCAAGCTGTGCCTATTCTGGTTTTCAACCTCCAAAGAAGGTGTCAACCTAGGGCCAGAAACTGACCAGTCTTCTAGTGATGAACATGAAGATCCTGGAACGTGTGACCCTATTTGATTTTCCACTTTCTCCTCCGTGGAGCACATCCATACAGAAGTGTTTTGAGGTTTTCACAATATCTTTGAGATGACTATAGCCTGCTTGAGGTCCTATAAAGTGCATGGGGACCACTGTTTGTAAGAGGTTGGAGGTCAACCCTGGGGCAAGGTCGAGTTCCCAGTGGGAAAGGAGTCAAGATTCAGAAGGGAGAGGGTGGCCATGGCCGCAGCTTGGGCGAGCCAGCTCCTCGGGGAGGCCTCTCACCAGACTCTTGCTTCTCAGGTTTTACTACAATGTGGAGTCGTGTGGCTCTCTGCGCCCTGAGACCATCGTCCTCTCAGCGCTCTCTGGGTTGAAGAAGAAGCTGAGTGATTTACAGACCCAGTTAAGCCACGAGATCCAGAGTGACGTCCTCACCATAAACTAGCTGCAGCTCGCCTGTTCGAGCAAAAGGGAGACCCGAGCCAGCAGCGGGCTTTGGGGGCTCTCCCGAGACTCTTCTAGCTCCTGGGGTCTGGACAGCTGTTGTTGCTCCAGCTCCTTGGCAAGCCATCAGTACCAACTAGAAAGGTAGCAGTGGGGAAGGATAGGCCCATCCCTCCTTGCACGGTCATAGGTAGGTTATCAGGGGTGCCAGTGGTATTTGAGGCCAGGCAGCTTTCACTGGACACGTAGCACCCTGGCCCTGCTTTGTAATTGCCAGTGGCACTCCCCAGGACATCCCTTTCCCCCATTTCGTAATCTGCTTGTAGGGGCCATACTGCTTCCCTGGTAAGCACTACCAAGGTGGGCTCTCCTCTTTTGGTCATTTCACTTTTACTTTCTGTCGAAAAGTTGGAATTTTCCGTTATACCCTAGGCTTAGGGTGTTGGGATTGAGTGCTAGGACCCTCATTCAGGCTGCTTACAAACCCAGTCCCTGCCCAGGGCCAGCCTACTGACACTTGATTCAGATTCCCAAGTGTCCCTAATTTGAGAACAGTGCTAGATCCTGGTTGCCCCCCATAAACCCCGTATTTCAGTCTTTACCCTTCAGTATGACGTTACTGCCAGTGGCCCCCAATTACTGAGTTTACGGTGGGAAGAGGGTGGACCAGGGCCGTAATGAAGGTCTGGCCTTGACCCCTTAGTTTTCTAGATAGGAACATACTCAAAGCAGGTAATTAGGCAGCCTGGCAGGAGGGACCTGGAGAAAACCAGAGATCCAGTACAGAAAGGAAGGGATATTTATTGATTAACAGTAGTTGTCTTTTTAAAAGTTTTTATTTTTGGCAATAAAGAGCACAACATAATCTCCTTCATGCGTCATCGTGCCACTAGCTGAGCCAGCCAGCTCTGCCTCCTCGCCAAGGCCTGGGGCCAGGCTCTTCAGGCTCGCTCATTCCTCTGGGTGGGTATTCCCGGGTCAGGCGCAGAGCTGAGCTGGCTGCGGCCACCTCCCTGGCTCCAGGGCTCTGCTGGAGGGGCCTCTTTGTCATCCTGCCACAACTTGAATAGTGGTTATTTACAACAAGGTAACAAGGTCTGTTCCCACAAATTAGAACCCTAACATACTTAAAAAAACAAAACAAAAACATAAACCACACACACAACCAAAGGTTTGATGTGAATAGAAAGATAGCCCTTCTGCCCGGTAGTCAATAAATACCAGCACTAGAAAATCAATTGCTTTAATTGCATTTCAGCAGGGAGCCTCAGCACCATGTGGGGAGGAGGAAGTGGGAAAGGCTCGGTTTCTGAGTGCTTTTGGCTGGCCAGTGGGTGGCCAAACGGAGAGGGGCCCCGCAGAGGGGGGCATTGCCCATCCCATGTCAGTGAGGGGGCAGCAGGGGTGCTCCCCACAGCAGTCCTGCCGCGGCCTTCCCTCCTGGCCTGGCCCTGGGTCAGGACAGAGCTCGGGACTGGCATCCTCCCCAAGGTTACCAGCACCCCTACCTCCAGGGTAACTTCTCAGCCTACTTACTAAGTAGGAAGGAACCTGGGCAGAAATTTCCTTTTTCAAACTAGATTTTCACCTGAGGTGTCAACCAGATGTCACCTGTGCTTAAAACTCCCAAGTGCAAGGCTACCAAGTGGCACAGTGTAAGCTCGGTGCCGTTCTAGGCCCAGAGGAGTTGGGAAGCCACCTACTGTGTTCGCCCCAGGGCTGCCTGGGAAAGGCCCGCAGTCAGCGCCAGCCTTGAGTTCTGGTTGTCTCCCTCTGGCCCTGGCAGCTCAAGCAATTCTGGCAGCAGGAGGGCTGTACCATGGAGGACAGGCACCTTCAAAACCAGCCTTGACTGTGGCCTGGTCATGGGATTAAAAAATGTGTATGTAGTGGCAGGGAGGGACGGGGAAATTCATTAATATAGAATATGTATTAAGCGGTATATATTAAAATCATTAACAGTATATAGTCCCATGGTAGCTCCAGCCCCTCAACACATGCTCAGGTGGTGTGGCCAGCCCTTTGCCTTGGTCCAGCCTCACTCATGGGGGCAAGGAAGGGACAGCTTGCTCCCTCTCTCCAGGCCCTTGGCCAGCAGCTTCTTGAGGCTGTCCCCAGCACGCTGCAGTCAGCCCACAGCAGGCAGCCCCCGCAGTCACCAGTGCACACTAGCCCTGCTGTCACTGGGCTGGGGTCTTGGCCTCGCTGCTGTCCCCCTGGCTGGGCTTTGGCTTTAGCAGGATGAATCTGTTGAGGAGGTCCGTTTCTGAGCTGGCCTGGGCTGCCCCATACCCCTCACCTGTGGACACAGAGGTAGGCTCAGGACGCAAGTCCAGGTCAAAAGACCTCTGCCCCGAAGGCCTTGTCTTCCACAGAGCCTCATGGCGGGCGAGTGTGGGGCACTGCAGCGACTCACCGGCATAGCTGGAGGCCTCAGCAATATTCTGGGAGCCCGTGATGTGGTGCCAGTAGGCACTGCGGGGCAGCATGGTAGTGGGCGTGCAGGGGTAGGAGTAATGTTCTGTGCCCTTGTTCAGCAGCTGTGGGGCAGAGAAGGGGGACCCTCCCATTAGCTTTGGTGGCAGTGGCTTGTCCCCAGGCAGTCAGCCCAAGACCCTGCCTGCCTCTACTGTGTAAACACTAAGTGGAGACACCTGGCAGCCCCCCCCCCACCCTCCCCTGTACCCTGGACTGAGACCCACTGCCTCACCCTCACATTCTTCTCCATTTCTAGCAGGACCCGCTTGTGTTGCTCGGCGATGGCCAGGGTGGCACTGTGGACCCGCTGGTAAATCTGTTCCCCTTCCTGCGTCTGGAAGGTGTAGAGCCCTTCCCCAGCGTCACACATCCTGGGGACAGAAGTGGCATGGAGGGCAAGGTGGTGGGGGCCATGCACGTGCTTGGTTGGGCTCTCCTGTACCCCAGGCCCTCTTGGGAACAGGGCTGTCCCCCCGAACATGCTGGGCATTTCTGATGTGTCAGGTGCTGATCTAAATGCTTTACAAGAATTAACCCATTCAGTTTTCACCACCCCGCTCTGGTCTGTGAGCACTATTACAGTTTCCCCATTATTAGTTTCTGCAAACCACTTTACAGATGAGGAAACTGAGGCATTCGGAAGGTAAGTAACATGACCAAGGTTATACAGAGGATTATATGGGATCCAAGTTCAGTCAAGCTGGCTCCAGAGGTCATTCAATCTTCACCATAATTCCGTGAGGTCAGGTCCATTTCTTATCCCCTACGTAACACATGAGGAAATTTGAGACTCGGGCCCACAGTCCCAGAGCTAGTAAGTACCAGTGCCCGCATTTGACAAGCAGTTTGACTTGGTAAACAGCCTCCCTTCACCTGCCTTCGGTAAGCCTCAGTTTCATCATCTGTGAAATGGGAACATTACCTTCCCTTTTGGATTGCTATGCCGATAAATTAAGCTCCCAGCACAATGCCTGACACAGTGAAGAGCAGCCACCATGATGACCATGGTGGGACAGGGAGAGGAGGCCAGAGGGTCTTACCGGCCAGCCTCAAAGGTAAAGCGTGTGGCGTCCCGGCCGTAGCGGCGCAGTGAGCAGAGGGGCCATGAGACGAGCTTCACGCGGGGGTTGTGTATGTCCCAGAGGTAGATGTTCTCGTGGGTGATCTGCAGCTTGCACTCGCCATACACATCCAGGTTGGGGCCGGGCAGCAGGAAGACGTTGAAGCGATCTGGGGTGGGAGACAGCGGGCCTGGAGCTTCCCGTGGGGAGGCCTCCTGCCTTCCGTCCTCCCCACCCCGCCCCTCTCCTTAGCCTCCCCGCTCCCCAGTGCCAGTGCCAGGCCTCACCTGTCTGCTCACACTGCACCCCTGGGGCCAGGAGGTCCGGCTCTCCCAGACTGATGTCGTTGAGCCGCGACCCCAGACACTCCACGGACAGCGTCTTGTACCACTCCTCTGCCTCCAGCTCTGGAGAAAACGGCACCTCATCATGCTGCCAGCTCAGGGTCCCCCAACAGCCCACCCCACCTTCCTCAGCCTGAGTTACCCCACCATGCAAGGCAGGGAGGGCAAGGCCAGGGGACTCTGCCTGCCTGCCCCGCTTCATCCTGGGGGCCTGCTGCCTCAAACAAAGGCACCCCCACCCTCACCCTCACCCATCACATCGGCCAGGGCTAGCCGTGCTCTGCCTCCTGACTGGACCACTGGACCATGACTGGCCCGGGGGAGGCCGGATGGAGGTCTGCAGCCCCAGCTCCTCACCTGAGTCGCAGGTGAAGGTACGGGCTGAGTCATCAGTGAATATGATGGCCACCGCCTGCCTCTTGGTCTCCTTGGGGAGCCTCGTGACACACTTCACATTGCTGATCTCGGTCACCTGGGACAGCATCCACAAGGGACTCAGTCAGGCCAGAGCACCACCCTCGCATCCCCCACAGTTCCGCCACAGTACCCCGGCAGGGTACTCTTGAACCTCTGGACTCTTAAATCATCATTGCTTACAGGTTAGGGGAGCTAGGGCCCAGGCCCCCTAACCTTGGGGCAGCCTCGGAGGCACACTGACTTCTCATCCGGATACTTCTCCAGCCGCTGGGGCCCCTTGCTGGAGGACTTCCGGAACACCAGCCAGCACCTGCGGTAGATCTGGGGGGCAAGATGACAAGGGAGTCAGACTTCTCAGGACCATTCCCACCCAACGTGACCCTGCAGTTACCCCTGCCTACGGCGGGGGGCAGTGCCACACAGCCTTCCCAGGAGCCCCAGCTCAGGAGAAAACCTGGGGACAGCTGGCAGCAGCATGCCACACCCCTAGGGATGAGATCCCGTCCCCAAATTGGAACCATGAGGGTCCACGTATACGCAGATTTTTTTCAATAAATAGTCGACCTTCTATCTCCCCAGGTTTTTCAGGATTTTTGATCTGTGGTTGGGGGTCTGTGGCTGTGGAAGGCTGACTTTAGGTACTGTTCTAAGCCATTTTATATAAGGGCCTTGAGCACCCGCGGATTTTGGCATCTGCGGGGATCCTGGATCCAATCTCCCACAGATCCTGGAGGGACACCTGGGGAGTCAAAGTTATACACGGATTTTCTACTGTGTGGGGGATGGGGGTTTGCTCTCCTAACCCCCACATTGTTCAAGGGTCAACTGTAATATAAATAGCCAACATTTACTGAGTGCTTCTCATTTGTACTTTTTGTCAGCGCTCTACACAGTCTCAGAGTCACTCTTGAGGTCGGTTCTGCTATCTCGACTTTATAGATAAGGAAACTGAGGCACCACAAAGTTAAGTAACAGCTAACAAATGGTATTTAAAACAGGCTGTCTAGATCCAGAGCCAATATGCAGAGCCCAATGCACACTACATTCTGCCCAAGGCCCCAGCAGCACCAGTCACAACAGCGGGAGCGTGCTAGGGACAGGTATTAGACCCTTGCCCGCCCCCGGCCTGCACATCATCACAGCCCTTGTTCTCAGAGCTGGGGGAGGGCTTGATGTGGGCAACACCCCTTATCTCCAGGAGCTTTCACTCACCCACTCTCTTCATTCTTAACCAATGCTGGGGTGTAGGAGGCCAGGGTTAGTTCCCTGTTCCAGTTGGGAAGCCAGAGGCTCTCAGAGGTCAAGGGGCAGGGCTAAGAACCTGGGGTTCCTGGGGTTACCCCGGAGCACAGCATCTTCCCTGGCAAGGTTCCCTCCTTGTCCAATCACCAACAATGACCCTGTGCCTAAAACCACACAGATTCTCTGTAGCTTCTTGGACTCCTCCCAAGGGTCAAGGAGCCAGGGAGGAGGGAGCAGACCATTTTCTACGGCTACCAGGGGCATCCTGGCTGGTCAGACACCTTGAGGAGTGGACCCAGCCACTTCCCTGCATTGCTTACTCTCCTTCCTCGGCCCCTGCCCCCCTGCTTCTGGCTCTCTTCCAGCCCAGAGTCTGGCTGTGCTGTACCTACTCATTCAGTGGGCACTCTAGAATCCAGTGGACCCCATTCTCCAGGAATCTCTGGAATCTCTCACAGGCAAAGAGGGAGACTAACGAGTGGCCTAGAGCAGAAGAGGTGAGGGGCCCTCTGGGCCATAGCCCCAAGCCCCTGCCTCCTCTCCAGCCGTTCTGCCATGCGAGCACCAGGACCTCAGCAGGCAGAGGCCCAGCGTACAGGGAACGTAGACAGCCCCATCCCAAGAAGCCAGAGTCATGCCGTTTCTGGCTCCTGTCTAGAACCCTAGGAGGCATGTCTGCCCCTGCACCCATGATCCTGGCTCAGCCCCTGGCTTATCCACCTATATCACAGCAGGCCTCAGCTTTTAGCTGGGAGCTGCTTTAGGGCAAAGACTGTATTTTATTCTCAGAATCCTTACTCACATCCTGGTAGCCTCCTTAACAGAGCTCTGAATGACCATATGAAGAGAGTGAATGAATGGATGCATGCATGACCCAGATATACCCCACCAGGTTGGGCTCCATGCAGCCTGCAGCGTCAGGGGCAAAAGGCATGGGGGCCTGAGCCCCCTGGTTGCCTGGTTACAGACACACACACACACACACACACACGCACGCACGCACGCACGCACACACACGCGCGCACGCGCGCAGCCCCAGGGAACCACTGTGCTCACAGCTCTCCTTCCTCACACACATGTACACACACTCACGCACACACACGCACACACTCACACGCGCGCACACACGCACATACACACTCACTCACTCACACACACTCGCACACTCACACACACTCACACACACACTCGCGCACACACATGCACTCACACACACGCGCGCGCGCACACACACACACTCACACGTTCACACACACACGCGCACGCGCACACACACACACACACACACACACACACACGCACGCACGCGGCCCCAGGGAGCCACTGTGCTCACAGCTCTCCTTCCTCACGTCTCACAGGTCTTTGATCAGGCTTCAGAAACACTGCCACAGCTCTGCCTCAGGAAGAAGGCCCTGGCAGGTGGGGGGGGGGGTCCCGGTCTCTTTCAGCCCCTCCCCGCTCCCCTTTCTGGGCTGAGACAAGGCAGTCTGGCCGCTCTGGGGGTGACCACAGCCCCTCACACCAGGTCTGCATGGGGGAGCTGAATTCCAAGTGGAGGGGCACCCCTCTCCCGGCTGTGCCCACCTTGGGTTCCCAGTCTCTTGGAACACGGCTGATACTGAGCCCAGTCGCTGCCCCAAGCGGCTTGCCTTCTGGGTAAGCTTTGTCCTGGACAGGGCCTCAGCCCAGCTGGTCCCTGGGGACCTGCTAGGTCGGGGCCCACAGGAACGAGGAACCATACTAGAAGCTGAGCCCCTACCCACTCGGCCTCCCCACCTCAGCCTCATCCATCCCTCTCTCAGGATAAGAACAGAGCGGCTGATCGCCACCAGGGCCCAGTCTCCTGGGCTGGGGCCCAGGCTGGGACAAAATCCAAATTCAGGTAAGACTGCAGACATGCCCACCTGCTCAGCTGCTGCCTCCTGCTGGACAGACACACCCTCACAGGCCGCCAGGCAGGAGGGCAGCCCCTCTCCAAGGCCAGGGCTGCTCTGTCCACTGCTCTGTCCAGTACCCAGGCCGAGGAGCTGGTATGGAGCCCTGCTCCTCCCCCATCCCACTCAGGCAGAGCGCCAGGAAGCCTTGAGCAGTCTATCCCATCCCCACCCCCATCAAGGCCATGGGGGAGTGGGGAAAGGAGGGACCAGAGACCAGGGTAAAACACTAGGCTTGGGCCACCTCAGTCACCGGCGTTTCCTTCCGACTGGAGAAGGGACAGCTGCCAGGGTCCTCACTGGAGGTGGGGAGGGTCAGCAGAGAAATAGGGGCAGCTCCTGGTCAACCCCGATCATTACGTTGGCCCCTGGGGCCCCTGCTCATGCCTTCTGGGGGGGTCTTCACCAGTAGGGAGTGCGGGAGGTGGCACCCCCAGGTGTGTCTGAGACTTTATCTCCATGGACCCTCCAAGCCCCAGCTCCAGGCCAAGCACTGAGCGCAGAGGTAGCAACCTGGAGGAAAGTGGCCCATCCCAGAGCCATGGGCCCCAAGTTCTCATTCAGAAACCACATAAACATCAGCCACTACACCTCTCACACCATCGCCAGCCCTCACAACCAGACACTCTCCTTTCCAAACACTGCTTTACCGGTAAAAGCAACCAAAGGTAAACAAATACATAAATACCTGTACACAGAACGCAACAGGAAGCAGGGCGGGGAGGAGGGTACTTAGAAGAAAAGAGGCCAGGAGAGGGGAGGGGACAAACAGGGAGGCAGAGCGGGGAAGTGAGACGCTGGTCTCAGCTCAAACACAGCCTGGCATTTCCAGTGCTCCTGGCCCCTGCCGCTGCCCTGGCGACAACTTCAACAATAGCTGGGGAGCTGCCTGCCCATCGGCTGCCACCGCTGGCCCAGCCACTGGGATGCCAGCCAGTCCTGCTAGGGCGGGGGCTGCAGCAGGCAGAGTGGGGCCCAGGCACATGCTGGGTAGCCCGCTGGCCAGAAGCCTCCGGACCACAAATGCACGGTGCGGAGCTCAGGCGGGCAGCTGTGTGCCCGCCCCACCAGGTTCCAGACCAAGTTCTCCGAGCCTGTCCCTGGGCAGGGCCCTGGGGGGGTGGCTCACCCCAAGCTTCCTGCTCTTCATCTTCACGTAGCCTTGCTTGACGATGTCGTTGAAATTGGTCGCCATGGTTCCCCCACCTTCTCTTGGGTGCCGGGTACGGCCAAGGCGAAGGGAGGAATGCCCAGGTGGCCTCAGTTTCCGGCTCCTGCGATCACCTGTTCGAGACGCTCCTTCTGGGTTTCCGCACACAGCACGCAGCCGGGCCGCTGCTCACTTCGCCCGCCTCAGCATTGTTCTAGCAGCTCCTTCGCCCGGCGCCTGCTGGAAATAAAAATGACAGGGAGATTAGACAGTGACATCTTTCTCTTCCCCTGGCTGTCTCGCTCTTTTTTTCCTTCCTCTTCCCACACTCCTCCCTCGCAGCCTCCCTCCTCCCGCCCTTCTTCCTTCCCTTCCCTCCCCACCCCTGGACGACAGAACCATTCAGGAAAACCGAGGTGGAGGCGGCGAGGAGGAAAATGGTCCAGCCCAGTCCCCTCCCTCACGGCTGGGGCGAGGAGTTAACCCCTTCCTGGGAGGACTGGCGCTGACTCTGCGGTGGAGGTGGGGGCAGAGGAAGAGGTGGCGGGAGCTGATGTCCTGCCCTAAATGCTGGTACAACTTTGGGGCAGACTTAGGGCAACTTGTCCCCTGCAAGTGCAGGAGCCCCACGGGAGAGCACTCCCCAGAGATGGAGGGGTTCCCCAGGAGGCAGCACAGAGTCTGGTGTCTGAGTGAACTCCATGTTCCCTGAGGTGAAGGAAGATGGCCTCCTCAGTCTCTCAGCAGACCCCCAAATCCCTCTGCCCCACCCCATCCTACACCTGGTTCTCTCCAGCTCCAGGCAGGAAGCTGAGAGTCATCACCTCCAGCCCACTCAGGCCCTGCTCCCAACCCCTGGGACTCTTCAGGGTTTCCTCTGGGTGTTGCTTCCTAGGTGGGAGGGCAGAGTCCAGCAGGGTGGGCCCCCAGATAAGCCTGAGGAATGTGCTGGGCTGCCTAGAGGTGGCTACCGTGGAAGCGGAACCCTCGCCCAGGGCCTGGTGCTGGGAAGACCGGGCTGGTCTGTGAGGGCGCTGGCTCTGGCCAGGCCATGCAGGGCTCCCATGTCCTGAGTACAGGCAGAAGTTAATTACAGAAGCTGGGTCTGGAGCAGAGGACGCAGAGAGATGACAGTGAGAAGCACCAAGGGAAGTCAATATGGGGCAGGAAATGGGGGTGCCTGCAGGGGCCACTCAAAACCAGAGACTGAATCAACAGATACGACTCAGGAGGGTCTCCGTGACAACCCAGTCCAACACCCATTTTACAGATGGGAAAGGAAAGTTGCCCGGCGAGGATAAGTGGCATGGGTAAGGTCACAACAACAGCCAGAAACAGATGAGAGGTTCCGGAGTAGGTGACGGGAGCAGGCCTGGGGGTGGAATGTCCTGCAGCCATCGTTGGCAGCCTGCCACCATCTAAGCTCTTTCTACCATCCAGGCTCACGGGCAGGGCTGTGCCAGGAACATGGCCCCCCATGTCTCTGGGGTCACCGGGTGGAAATGGAGCAGCATTTCTGGGGTCAGCTGGGCATCTGTGCTGCCAGGACAGAGCCCTGAGGCAGGCATGCTGTTGAATCTGCCAGCAGCTTGGCATTAATTAATCTCATGGAAGCCTGTGTGTTGAATCCCTAACAAGGAACAGATGGGACTGCCCCAGTGGGCACATGCAAACAAGGAGAGGCAGAGAGGGTAATGCTCCCCTATCCCACTTGTACCCTGAAGGCCTCTTCACCACCCCCTCAGCTGCCTCCCTGCCCATTTACTCCCTCTATCCCAGGCCCCTGGGGTTCAAGACCTTCCCAAGTGGGACACACAAGTGGTCTCCTTTCCTCCTGTAAAGTCTGGGGTCCCTTCAACAACCCAGCCACACCCAGGCTCTGGCAGTCAGAGAGGTAAAGTTTCCCAGTTCCATCTCTACCGCCTGCCCCTGGGGCTGCCTTGCCCCCACAGCAAGGACTACTTCCAGAAAACTCTCTCCCAAGATGACAGCAGGCTGGCCACCGGCTGTGGGTCCAGAGCAGGAAAGACCCCTCTCAGAATACACCTACAAGAAAACACGAGGCCCCAGGGTTCACTCAAGGCAGCCCAGGATGGGGCACAGCCGGGAAAGTGAATTCAGCTGGCCAGGTGGTTTGGGCAAGCCACTTAACAGCTCTGTGCCTCAGTTTCCCCATCAGTAAAAAAAAAAAAAAGGGGGGGGGGTGAATTTACCTACTTTGAATGAGAAAATAAATCCATGAGGCAACCTGCCTGCCCGCTTTGGAACCAGAGCTTCTGACTCAAAAACAAGGGCTGTTTTTACTTCAAGAGCTGCTGCCCAGCCCAGGGCTGTGAAACCACCATCATGCAACCATCATCCACCGGCCCAACGCAGGCCTCTCCTTCCTGGATCCACCCGTTACCTTCCCAGCGGCGCGCCCCAGTGACTGTGGCCACCAAGCTCTCAGGAGCACTCTTGCCATGTCTGTCCCTGGGCCCACACCCCGTCCCATCCCTCAGACCCTAAACCAGCCCCACAGACATAAACCAGCAGAAGAGCAACCTTCCATGAGAAACCTGGGTGACAAAGGGCCTGGCAGCTCACTCTGGCCCCATGTCACAGGGAGTCCTGGCCACACTCAGCCCCTAATGATGTTAAGAGCAAGACCCAGCCTGGGACCCAAAATGGTACAGCAAAGGGGGAGCTGGGGAGGGAGGGAGGCAGGGAGAGGAAAGGGCCCATGGACAGACCACACATTTGACTGGCAGTGGGATCAGGTGTTTGCAGGGAGGAGAATCCAGACCCAACCCAGCCCCCAGAAGGCCTGCACTGTGTTAAGCTAGAGAGGGGGCCCCAGGCTGAGTCTGGGTGGGCCCAATGGGGCATAGAGGTCAGAAACTGGGCTGAGGCAGCCCCAGCTCTGCCATCCATAGGGGTTACTTCCCACGTGGCTCCTGAGCCAGCGCCAGCTCTAGCTTCTCAGTAGCCTGCAGCAGGGAAGAGGCCCCACTAATTCAAGAGGACCTGATCTCAGCTCTGAACACCCAGAGAAACTAAGCAGGGTGCCCAGCGGCCCCCTCAATACTGCAGGGGGGAGCAAGAGCCCTCCATTTCTCCTTCCAGCTTGGCATCCACACAGCTGGCTGCTCAGCCAGAGACAGTACCCGCCCTGGGCCAGGCCACCGTGAACTCCTTCACAGAGAGATCAGGGCTGAAGGGCTCCTCTCCTCAGATAGGGCAGGTGTCCTGTGGGGAGGGGCAGGGGGACTCCCTGGTGCCTAGTAGAGGGGAGGGGTGGAACCCACCTGCCCCATGGGGCAGCCACCCTAAGCACTCCCTCTCTGCACCTGGATTCTGCCTAGAGGCTTTGGCTCCGGAACAAACGCTACTTGCTGCTGTTGGCAACCAATGACTGAGCAGGAGCGGCTGCCTGCCCGGCTGGGCCTCCCCACCCCATGACAGATCGGATCTTATCAGGGCTTCAGGGACAGCCCTACCTGGACACTGGCTCCCTGTTGTCTCACTGTCTCCACCCAATACAGAAGATCCTATCAGTAGGATCCTAGCCAACACCAGGGACATTTCCTGTCACCTGTGGTCTGGCCCTCTTTCCCCTAGCTTGATTGCTATCAGGACCAGGAGGGGGTCCTCACCACATCCAGCCCCCCATTCCCACCTCCCCTCCAAGCAAATCCCCACAAAGAGCCACCCCCTGAAACCTGCAGGTCTCATCCAAGGTGGGTGGCAAAGAGATCAAATACCAAACTGGGCAGAGGAACGGTGGGAGGAGGGGACATCTGAACAGCCCCAGTACCCTGGGCCCTTAAGTCAGGAAAGCAGTGCTGTGCCATCCACCACTACCACTGTGCTCTCTCCTGGTCCCCGCCCACCCCTCTGGCCTTGTCTCCCCATGCTCTCAGTACGGCCTTGCTTCTTTCACGACAAGCCTAACTCCTTCCCACGCAGGACCACTGCTGTTGTGATCCACCTACAACACTGTTCCCTCAGCTGGTCCCAAGGTTCATTCTGCTGCTTCATTCAGGTCTCAGCTCGAAGGTCACCTCCTCAGAGAGGCCTTCCCGGTCCACCCTGGCCAAAGGAGCCCCACCAGTCAGTCTCTATTAGATCGTTTCACTGTCTTCATCACAGGCATCACTGTAGGATTTTCTTGTTCCTTCATCAGTTCATCTGTTGCTTGGCTGCTCACTGTCTCCTAGAATGCCCTAGAATATCAGCTTCCTGGTGCTAGGCTTTGTCTAGCTAACAGCTCCATTCCCACACCTAGAATGGTGCAGAGTGGGTGCTGGGTGCGCGACTGAAAACATGCTCTCCAGGATTTGTCCTCGTCCTTTCTCCCACGACCACCAGTATCCCACCAGTATCCGCCTGGCCAGACCCAGCTCAACTTCCAGGTGTGTGTGAGCAGAGGCGGGCTGCCACCTCCTTGGGTCCCAGTGCTTTCCCAGTGCTATCTGTCATGCAGACAAACTGGTGTTCCTGGAGAACCAGCCGGGACCAGACCCACTGTTTGGTTCAAAGCTGCCTCGAGGGAAGAAGCAATGCTGACACTTTGTCCAGGCCTAGCTGGGCGGCCCCACCTTGACCAGGGTTGTTGGGTGAGGTCATGCCCAGCCCTGCTGCCCTGCCCAGGAAGAAAGGGCTGGAAGTAGCCAGCTTCCAGGAACAGAGAGGCAAGCAACAGAGAGGCGAGAGGGGGCACAGCTCCTGGGACCCATCCTGGGTGGGGATAAGAACGGCCTGCACTGGAGCCACATCCCTTTGAAAGGAGCAAGAAAAGAATAGGCACTAAACAAGCCCAGCCTTGCATGAGCTGCTGTGATCCTGCGACGCCCGCCCCTCACTGCCCTTGATTTTTAGACCCCCTACAACCCCAGACCCTCCATCAAAGTGTCCTGGCAACTGCTGTGCACCTGCGGTTTGGGACAGGCAGGCTGCACAGAGGTGTGCTCTGCCCCACATCACCCAGGTGTCCAAACTCCACTCCTGCCCCTCTGCGGTGACAGGAAGCATTTAACTGGAGGCAGGGCTTTGGGGGCCTTGGGGGAGAAGCTGGACAGGACCCCAGGGCCAGGGGAGAAAGGTTCAGGATGGGAGGCAGCTGGCCGTGAGTTTAAGTTGTAGGGTGGGAGCCATATGCGGGGGGTGGGAGGGAGCTGGGGTAGAGAACAGTCTCTTGGAAATTGGAAGAGCTGAGAGGAGGAAAATGGGGGCTGCAATGGGCTGCGTTACGTCCCTTCAGGATGGCAGGCCCAGGGCACGGAGCACAGGGGCCTGGGCTTCTCTGGTGGGTATGTGTAGGGTAGTAGTGAGGTCAGGCCCGGGAACAGGGCTCCCCT